CTGGCAGGGGAAGGCCCCCAGCCCACTTTCAAATGCACTCTGCTTCTGAGTCCAGCAGTTCGGCTGTCAGAGGTACACGAGGGACTCGGGAAAAAGTGGCATCAGCATGCGTAAACCGAGGCACAAGACCGGGCTGGGGTCAGAGCTTGTGTCGTGTGTGTCACAGATAGTGCGTTCTTTATAAACAGAAGCCCTGGGACAGCCCCGTGTGGAAAGTCCAGGGACCGTTTTCCAGCAGTGTGTCTTCACTTCTTGTCTCTGTGTCCAATGTTGGTCATTGTCACAATCTTTCAAACGTTTTACTGATGCTCTTGCACGCACATAGGTGACAATACAATGCCAGCATCACGGTGTTGTTGAGTGCCACTGAGTCAGTCCCGATTCACAGAGACCCTGTATAGAGTTTCCAGGGAGCAGCTGGTGGGTTTGAACTGCCGACCTTGTGGTTTGCAGTCCAGTGCTGATCCTAGAGCGCCACAGCAGGAGTCCGGCATTGTTGAAAGCAGGAGGAAACCAACAGATTCGTGTGACTCACTTTATCGTGCTTTTTGATTAATTACAGCGGTCTGGAACCAAACCTACAATTTCTCCCAGGTCCTGCCTGTGCTTCAGTTCTCACGATTCTGGAGGCTGGAGGTCCGATGCCGCTGGGGCTGTGACGGGGGGGGGTCTGCTCCATGCTTTTCCTAGTTTGTGGTGACGCCAGGTACTCCATGGCTATTGGATGCATTGCTCCAATCCCTGCCTCTGTGTTGACATGCTGTCTTCTCGCTGCATCTCTCTGTTTGGATTCTCTTCTTTCACAAGCAAAGTTAGAGAACTGGCGGTCAACAGTTCCAACTGACCAGCCTCTTTGTAGGAGCAAGGTGAGGCAGTCGGCTTCCGTAACGATTGATGGCTTGGAAACCCTAAGGGACAGTTCTCCTTGTCCTGTAGGGTCACTGTAAGTCAGAACTGACTTGATGGCAGTGGCCTCCTTTCCAAGACGGATCATGTGCACCGATGCATTAGGGCTGCAGCTTATGTATCTGGGGAGAGCGGTTCGGCCTGTGACATCCCCTGGCTTCTCTCGGTTCCCACAGCTCAGTGGAGCCTCTGAGGCCCAACACAGCGATGCCCTGTCCACCTCCAGTGACCTACTCGACCTCTTGCTCCATGAGGACCTCTGCTCGGCCACGGGCTCAGCCCTATTGGGGAGCGCCACCTCAGGTTCCCTGGGTTCCGGGTCGCTGGGCTGCACAGTGTCCAGGAGTGGGACAGGTATGTGGACCTCCACCCCTGGGTCTTGGGGGCATGGGTGTGGTCCTGGCTGCATTGCCCTCAAGGGTGTTTGTGGAAGATTCTCTGGAGGTGTGACTCAGGACAAAGCAGGCAGATGAGGGGCAGACAGGTGTTCAGCCAACTCTCCTGCCACATGGTCCCCGGCTCACGGCTGCTCCAATGCAGCACGCTCAACCCGTGCCTCTCCCTGGCTCTGATCGGGAAGAACGTCCCAGCTTCCTTCCCGGTGTCTGCTGTCAGCATAACTAAAGGCCTCACTGCCCTCATCAGAGACCCCCAGACTCCCAAGGGGACCCCGAGTGGCAGCATACAGCCCCCCTTGCTGCATTTGTTCCACTCTCTTGAAGCTGAGCTGTGGATGTGTTCAAAACTTTACTGCCCGGGGTCTTTATCACCAAAGTGCACATGGTTGGCTGCGAACCAGTCCTGCCTCCCCCTCCCCAGAAACCCTGGCTGGTGTGTGCACCATCATCCCCTCCACAAGGAGGCCCGTGGTCAGCCGTGGTCACAGTGCTTAGAACTGGCTCTCACAGCCTCACTTCTGGGAGTTGGAGTTCCTGGTGTTGGTTCTATCATCACCCAGCGTAAGCCCATGTCTCCTCTGTGTGCCTGTCTGTCTGCAGTCTCCTGGCTGCGGGGTCACGTGCTGTCTTCCCTCTCTCTCTCTCTCTCTCTCTCTCTCTCTCTGCATCTCCTCCTCTCTCTCTCCTCTGTGTCTCTCATCCTCTCTCTTTCCTCTGTGTCTCTCCTCTCTCTCTCCTCCTCTGTCTCTCTCCTCCTCTGTCTCTCCCTTTCCTCTGTCTCTCTCCTCCTCTGTGTCTCTCCTGTCTCTCTCCTCTGTGTCTCTCCTCTGTGTCTCTCCTGTCTCTCTCCTCTGTCTCTCTCCTCTGTGTCTCTCCTGTCTCTCTCCTCTGTCTCTCTCCTCCTCTGTGTCTCTCCTGTCTCTCTCCTCTGTCTCTCTCTCCTCTGTCTCTCTCTCTCTGTCTCTCTCTCTCTGTCTCTCTCCTCTGTCTCTCTCCTCTGTCTCTCTCTCTCTCTCTCCTCCTCTGTCTCTCTCCTCCTCTGTCTCTCTCCTCTGTCTCTCTCC